GGTTGGGAGGGGGGGGGGGCGTTCTACTGTACGTCCGTGCCCTGCATGGCGGTCCGAGGCTTTGTCCAGCACAGCCGTAGTGGACAAAATACGGCCCTCCATTGAGGAAGGGCCAGAGAAGAAAATCTATACCAGCATGTATCTGTGATGATGGGACGAAGCACGACCACAAAAAAAAAGTCTCAACTTATGTATTGTATGTAGTGTGAGCATGGCGATTAGGACACCTTACTGCTGTAGCTATGAATGAATTCATACGCATACACCCTCCTTACTTGCTTCTTTTTCAACGAATGGTGGTCTTGGCAAAGGCACCAATCGACTCATCGTTGCTATCGCCAACCACTTGGCGCACGAAGCTTTTTGCCGGGGGAATTATGACGACGAAAGAGCCTTAGTTCGCCTGAAAGCTTTTCATACTAACAGGATTCGGAGACGGTTTACCTTCTTCGAGCTAGCTCGTTTTCTGTCGATGCGAACTCGCGATGTGTTCAAACGTCATGGGCTACTGATCGACCAACTTCCACCAGGGCCAATCGGTTGGGATTTCTGCGACAACGATAGGAGTGAGGGTAATTCTTTTAGGAGTGACGGAGACGAAGGAAAGGGAAAGGGAAGAAAGGAGGACGAAGACGACGATGGAGGAGGAGGAAAACATGGAGGAGTGGAAGAGAGCAAAGGGTTTGAGCCAGATGACCTTCCCCGAAACAAAAAACGTAGGGCTAGGGAAGAACTGCCCAGAGATTCTTGTCAAAATGAGGATCAGAATGATGGTAGCGAAAAAAAAGAGGATAATGGTGAAAGTACTCCTAAACGAACTAGTCCAGAGTACAAGGAATAGCCTTGGTAGACGCGTCCAGTTGTCTTCCGCTGCTGCTGTGTTTCAGTCTTTCTTTGCTCCGATGGATAGCTTAGCCTCCCCCATGCTGCCCCTTTACGGGGTCACAGCAGTTCATGGCAGATAGACGTGTCATGCGTTTTCAACCGCACTAAGACTGACGTCTTTTCATTGGTCAGCCGGTTGGCGCGGTCGATGCTAATAGTAAATACATACATGCCGTGCGTGAGAGGCGGAGAGATGCAGTCTGTAGCAGACCGATCTTCAAAATCTCGACAGACAGCTTCACAAACGAAAGCGCGTTGTGGTTTTGGAATCTCATCGAGGGCTTCCCGTCCACGTATCGGTCGCTTCCGGCATCCCCCTGCTTATCGAGCAAAGGAGCTTCGAAAGTCGTCGAGAGATCTCGGGGGAGTTGCCATCTCCATCTCCGCCTCCTACGGGTACAACTCCAAAGATCGACTAATAGTCGCATGCGCAGCCAGGGGGGCCGTTGGATGGGTATTTCCCCTGAACCAGGAGGGGGGGGGGGCTGCTCGCACTGCGTCCCTGGCACCTCACTATTTGCAGCTTGCCACCTCTTGCCACACAACGACGTGGAACAGCTCTCGCTGAACACAGCTTTCTCTGGCCTAGCGTCCTCCTGGTTGCACTCTCCCCTCTGCGCATCGTGTCCGGAACCATCAACAGTTGCAGCGTCATCGTCTCAAAGGTAAAAGGTGAGGGAGATGAATGTGCAGGACCTGCATAACGTAGCGGAGCAAGATTCATCGTGTTTTGTTCTCCTCCGTTCTCGTGAGCCGCCTGCTGCTGCTGCTGTTGCACACCCATAACGATGCTGTTAACATAGCACTAGCGTCTGCTCTCCGAACTAGTGTAGAAGCGGCAACAGGGACCCCCGATACTGGCGGTACCTGAGCACGTGCTGGATGTGCCCCTGGCCTTGGTCATCGAGTAGAGATGGGCACACCGAGCGCCGGTTATCATGATGATTCTGTTCTTCGCGTGTGTGTGTTGTTGTTGTTCAAGGAAAAAACGCTTTGCCATGCACATGCCACGAAACGCTTTGCCCAATAGTTCCACGTGCTGCCTTGGTTGAGACGAGAGAGGGGCAAGAGTTTGCCTGCACGCAAAGCAACACACGCGCAACGGCCTCCCACATGCGCGCGGGCGCCGCCGGGCTGGGGGCATGTTGTCTGTGGCTCGGTCCCCCGCGGGCATAATAATACTCTGGAGTCAGAAAGGCACCAGATGATGGCGAGGACAACAAGCGGTTTATCCGCACACAACCCAAAAGACACACAACACAAGAAAAAATATGAATATTTTCTCGTATGTAGCACAGGGCTGATTCCTCTTCTCAGCTCAAGCGAACTCAAATATTGTTTGGGTGGCTGGGCCATGTAGACGCCGGCGGCGGCTCGAACCAGCCACTGCTACTTCTTGCTTTTGAACGCCCCACCGCTGCTGTGCGAGATTGATTGATCGCACGATCACGAAAGGAAAATAATAACAGCGCTGTGGCAACTGCTGATTTTGTGGTTTTTCACGGAAACGGAAAATAAAGTCTCTCCGAACCTTTGTGCCCTCTTGCCTACCCCCTGTTGGTGCAATCGAATCTATCTCCCGCCGGACGTCTTGCCTACGTGGGCAATAACATTTTCATTCTTTCTTCTCGTATCACACAGTAACAAGCGGTTTCCCTCCCCCAAACCAAACAGACAGCCAAGCAGTCCCTCCTCTGTTTTGCTCTGTACAGCAGTCGCACGCAGAAAAATCGTAGAAGCATGCATGGGGGGGTACGGCAGTTACTGCTGTAAATGTGATACTGCTGTAGGAACGCGAGAACGAGAACCGCCTCGAGGAACAGTCGCCAGCACCGACCGGTGCTTGTGTCGTTACCGGTCGCGCTTTTGCTCGAGCCAAGCCACGCATGCGTACAATACCGTACTGTAGGTTGCATAGGATACCACCCCCACCCCTAGATCTACTTATTTTCAAAGCTCGACTTGAGTATGTACATAGACTCGGTGTATGTGTTTGCGACGCAGAGCCAAGAACCTTCGGCAGCACCGGTCCTTGCATCGGTCTCGCTTTTTTTTCTCTTGCGTGCAATACTTCAACGCATCCCATGGACTGCTGTGGTTATATGCATATCTCGCACGGGTATATCCGTCCTTTGCTGTGTTTGTACAGAACAGGCCCGCAACTAAAACAATATCCGTACACTTTGTATTGCTACGTTAGAAGTACCAGTTCATCGCTCTGTTACAGCTGGCTCGAAAAAAGATACGCTGACACAAGAACTTCAACTCAGGAATATTGGAAAAGATTCCATATTCTCTACCGGTACACAATTCTTGCTCCCTTTTTTTTCTTATATATGGTGGTATGCGTACTTCTGCAGAGTATACTTCGATGTCATGTTTCTGAGAGTGGGAAAAAATAGAACGGGCCCAGAAACAACAAACAACCGTCAGAAATGGAGTGGAGAGGCTCGACTTCTTATTTCTGGTACTTTATTTCGTCGCCACCACATGTATATGTATGCATATGCATACATCTGTCGAGCACAAGGGTGTTGCGTTGAGTTGGAAGTAGGATCTACCGATCGATGAGCGGGCGTAAGATTCTTACCCCTACAGCAGTATGTAGAGAACCTGTATTTTCTTTTTTTTCGTGAAATTTGAGCCGATGTTTCTTCGCGAATTATTTCTTGAACTGCTGCGGGGGGGGGGAGTTGTATTGTTTTTCCGTTTACCGTCGAGAAAGTTGGCTCACGATGTAGAGAGAAACCGTTATTTGCTGCCTAGATGTCTTGTGTTGACCAAGAGTCTTGGAGCACCGGCAGATATGCTCGCTTGTGAGCGCTGACTTTCACGTCAGTCATGAAAAAAAACAGACGTGTATTTTCTCGTGATCAAACCTCCTCTGTCCGCTGCGAGAATACTACTTGCTGTGACCGCTCCTGTGCGGTGTTTGGAGCCGTTGGGTGCGATGAACCCCGACAGAACGTCAATGCGGAGCCTGCTGCCGAGGTCCTCCTTTCGACCGGCACTCCTACGGGAGAGCCTGCTAACCGCTCCCCCCCCCCCGCCCCCGGCCCTTCGATCTCGGTGATGTGCTAGCCTGGTCCTCCGGTGAAAATCCGTCGTGCTCTGTTCCGCCTTTCTCTGTAGGGATGTAACTTTGGTCCTGGTAAGATCATTGGTCATTGGTCTAACGACCACGGCATGCACGGCTATGACTACACCCCCCGCGCGCGCCCGCCCCCCTCGTATATCGTGCGACATGTACCATTGTATATCTCGCTTAGGAGGGCGAGACTCCTGCACCACACAGCCATCCCGCCCTTGTCCTCCAGAGAATGAGAAGCCGTGGTCGAGACCCTTTGCTTACCCCCCCTCCCGCGCCCCTCGTATTGCACCATCTTTTGCGTAGGAGGGCGAGACTTCTACAACGATCAACCAACCCGCCCTACATCCAAGCGAGTAAGGAGCCATGGCCGAACCTGCCGCTGCCGCCGCCGGTACAACGGAGGGAGAGACTGGACCGGGCTACACGCGAGTAGACATTCCGTTCGTCATCGACAGGTACACGCAGAAGTAGGAGACAAACAGAACAGGCAGGCATTCCGTTCGTCATCGAACAGGTACAACAGCAGTAGGATACAAATAGACAGTCCGTTGTTAGTTGTCGAAAGGTTTGTACATACATAGGCAGGAGACAAGAAGACAACATGTGTGGGGTGGATGCTCCGCAGAGTACTGTCTACGTGGCCTCCGGAGAGAGAGGGGGGGGTGTACTCCAGGTAGTGCATTGCCGTA